GGGGCTCAGGGACAGCCCTGGGGGGGCTGGGGGCGCTCAGGGACAGCCCTGGGGGGGGCTCAGGGACAGCCCTGGGGGGGATCAGGGACAGCCCTGGGGGGGGTCAGGGACAGCCCTGGGGGGGATCAGGGACAGCCCTGGGGGGGGTCAGGGACAGCCCTGGGGGGGTCAGGGACAGCCCTGGGGGGCTCAGGGACAGCCCTGGGGGATCAGGGACAGCTCTGGGGCACTCAGGGACAGCTCTGGGGCACTCAGGGACAGCCCTGACCCCCTGTGCCCCTGTGCCAGGTACTGGTGGCTGAAGATCAACGCCCTGGCCACCCGCGGGGACTGGGAGGAGATGGAGAAGTTCTCCAAGAGCAAGAAGTCGCCCATTGGGTACCTGGTGAGAGCTTGGGCTGCCTCAGTCACACCCTCGTTGTCCTCCCAGCATCTTCCTCCTTTCCCTCCCTGCCCTCCCATCCTCTTCCTCCCCATTCCAGTTCTCCCACTCCTTCCTCCCCATTCCCACTCTACCCTCCTCTTCCTCCCCATTCCCACTCCACCATCCTCTTCCTCCCCTCCCTGCCCTTCCCACCCTTTTCTTCTCCTCTCCAACCCTCCCACTCTCTTCCTCCTTCAGAGGTCCCATCCTTTCCTTTCCCATCATCTTCCTCCCCGTCCCACTTCTCCCATGCCCTTCCATCCCTGTCTCTCCCATCTTCTTCCTCCTGTCTCCAGCCCTCCCATCCTCTTCCTCTCAATTCCATCTCTCCCATTCTCTTCCTCCCCTCCCCAGCTCTACCATCACCTCTCCTGCTCCATCTCCCCATCCTCTTCCTCCCTTCTCCTGCTCCCCCTCTTCTTCCCTCTCCAACCCTCCCGTCCTCTCCCTCTCATCCTCTTCCTCCTTCTCCAGCCCTCCCATCCTTGCCTTCCCATCCTCTTCCTCCCCTTTCCACCTCCACCATCCTTTTCCTCCTCTCTCCCACCCTCCCATCCTCTTCCTCCCTTCTCCATCTCTCTCAGTCCCATGTCCTTCCTTCTCCATCTCCCCATGCTCTTCCTCCCTTCTGCCTTCCCATCTTCTTCCCTCTCCAACCCATCCATCATCTCCCTCCCATCCTCTTCCTCCCCATTACAGCTCTTCCACACTCTTCCCTCTCTGACCTCCCATCCTCTTCCTCCTTTCTCCATCTCTCCCATCTTCTTCCTCCCTTCTCCATCTCTCCCATTCTTCCTTCCTTCTTCAGCCATCCCATTCCTGCTCTCTCACCCTCATCATCCCCTCTCCAGCCCTTCCAATTTTCCTCCCTTCTCCATCTCCACCATCCTCTTCCTCCTTCCCCAACCCTCCCATCCTTGCATTCCCATCCCCTTCCTCTCCTTTTCACCTCCACCATCCTTTTCCTTCTCTCTCCCATCCTCCCATCCTCTTCCTCCCTTCCCCAACCCTCCCATCCTCTTCCTCCCTTCTCCATCTCTCCCATTCCCTTCCCATTCCTGCTTTTCCACCATTTTCCTTCCTTCTCCCTCTCCCCATCCTCTTCCTCCCCTCTCCAGCTCCTCCATCCTCCATCCTCCACCTCTCGCTGCCCTTCCTCCCCTCTCCCTGCTCTTCCTCACCTCTCCCTGCTCTTCCTCCCCTCTCCCTGCTCTTCCTCCCCTCTCCCTGCCCTTCCTCCCCTCTCCATCCTCCATCCTCCCCCTCTCCCTGCCCTTCCTCACCTCTCCCTGCCCTTCCTCACCTCTGCCTGCTCTTCCTCCCCTCTCCCTGCCCTTCCTCCCCTCTCCCTGCTCTTTCTCCCTCCCAGCCCTTCGTGGAGGTGGCGGTGAAGCACCACAACCGCTACGAGGCCAAGAAATACGCGCCGCGTGTGCCGCCCGAGCAGCGCGTCAAGGCCTTCGTCCTCGTGGGGTGCGTGGGGACATCCTGGGACCTGAGGGGACATCCTGGGGGACATCCTGGGACCCTCAGGGGACATCGTGGGGATCCTCAGTGGGGGGACATCCAGGGGATGCTCAGGGAGTACATCCAGGGGACCCTTAGGGGGTATCCCAGGGACCCTTGGAGGGACATCCAGGGGATCCTTGGAGGACATCCTAGGGACCCTCAGGGGACATCCCAGGGATACTTAGGGGGGGACATCCAGGGGACCCTCAGGGGACATCCCCGACATACTCAGAGGGACGTGCAGGGGACTCTTGGGGTGGCAACCAGGGACCCTTGGGGGGGACATCCTGAGGACACTTGGCAGGACATCCAGGGGACCCTTGGGGGGACATCTTGGGGACTCTCAGGGGGACATGCAGGGGACCTTCAGGGGGACATCCAGGGGACCCTTGGGGGGACATCCCAGGGACCCTTCTGGGGACGTGCAAGGGACTCTTGGGGTGGCATCCAGGGACCCCTGGGGGGGACATCCTGGGGACCTTCAGGGGGACATCCCAGGGACTCTCAGGTGGACATCCCAGGGATACTTGTGGGGGGACATCCAGGGGACACTCAGGGGAACATCCCGGGGACCCTGGTGGGGACATCCCAGGGACCCTTAGGGGACATCCTGGGGACCGTCAGGGGACATTCTGGGGACCTTTGTGGGGACATCCCAGGGACACTCGGGGGATATCCAAGGGGACCTTCAGGGGGACATCCCAGGGACCCTCAGTGGGGGGACATCCAGGGGACCCTGGGGGGAACATCCTGAGGACACTCAGGTGACCCTGGGGGGGCATCCCGGGGACCCTCAGGGGAACATCCAGGGGACCCTTGTGGGGACACCAGGACATGGAAGCACGCAGTGGAACTCCCTGTGGGGCAGCAGTGGGGATTTGGGGGTGACACTGTGGGCGGCTTTGGGGGACACCGGGAGCCGCCGGGGCAGTGGGACAGCGATGGGAAGGTGGGGCTGCCCTGTGTCCCCGTGCTGTCCCCTCCCTGCTGTCCCCTCACGGCTGCGTGGTGTCGCAGGGACCTGGAGCAGGCGGCCGAGGCGGCCATGGAGCGCAAGAACGAGGCCGAGATGAGCCTGGTGCTGTCCCGGTGCTCCCCCGGCACCGACGGCGCCCTGGCCGAGAGGCTGAACCGCGCCCGGGCACAGCTCCTCAAAAAGTGACCCTGGGGACACGCCAGGGACATCCTGGAGACAGCCCCAGGGGCAGCCCATGGACAGCACCAGGATGGACATTGGGGGGACACTCCATGGATACCCCAGGGACACCTCTTAGACAGCCCATGGACACCCCAGGGACACCCCCATGGACATCCTAGGGACACCCCAGGGACACCCCCATGGACATCCTAGGGACACCACCAGGGACAGCCCAGGGACACCCCAAAGAACAGCCCATGGACACCCCATTGACACTGCAGGGATGCCCAAGGACACCCCAGGGACACCCCATGGATATCCCGGGGACACCCCCATGGACAGCCCATGGACACCCTGGGGACATCCTGGGGACACTCCATGGACAATGCCAGGGATACCCCATGGACACCCTGGGGACCACCCAGAGACATCCCATGGACACCTTGGGACACACCAGGGACACCCCCATGGACACCTCCATGGACAATGCCAGGGACAGCACCAGGACACCCCCAAGGACAGCCCATGGACACCCCAGGGACAGCCCATGGACACCCTGGGGACACCCCCATGGACACCCCCAGGGACACCACCAGGGACACCACCAGGGACACCACCCGGGATGCCACCAGGACACCCCCAAGGACACCCCCAAGGACACCCTGGGGACACTCCATGGACACCCCCAGCCCTCCTAGTGTGTCCCTGTCCCCTGACAGCTGCTCCCGACCGTGTCCCTGTTGGATGGGTGGCAGAGGTGGCACCGCTGGGGACAGCAGGGTCCCCTCCCTGCCTGTGCAATAAAGAGAAGAGCTGCGTGTCCTGTGTCACCAAGGAGGGCTGGGGACACTGGGGACACCGGGATGGGTGGGAGGGGACAGCTGGGGACACAGCGAGGTTCAGGAGCGGCTCCAGGGGCCTGGAAGGTCACTGGGTGTCCCCAAGGGTCACTTGGGGGGACATTGTCGGGGTCGTTGGGGAGACATTCGGGATCCCTGGGGGGACCATTGGGGGATCCTTGGCGGGACACAGGGGGACATTGGGGGGTCCTTGCAGGACACAGGGGGGACATTGGGTGGGTCCCAGGGGGACACTGGGGGCGACATTGGGTGGGTTCCCAGGGGGACATTGTGGGACATTGGGTGTGTCCCAGGGGTTATTGTTGGACACTGGGGGGTCCCAGGGGGACACTGGGGGGAATCCTTGGGGGGACATTGTGGGGGGTCCCAGGGGGACACTGGGGGGACATTGAGGAGGTTCCAGGGGGGACACTGGGGGGGACACTGTGGGGGTCCCAGGGGGACACTGGGGGGACATTGAGGAGGTTCCAGGGGGGACACTGGGGGGACACTGTGGGGGTCCCAGGGGGACACTGGGGGGACATTGAGGAGGTTCCAGGGGGGACACTGGGGGGACATTGTGGATGGTCCTAGAGGGGACACTGGGCAGTCCCTGAGGGGACACTGGGGGAGGTCCTTGTAGGTATACTGGGGACTCCCTGGGGGGACATTGGGTGGGTCCCAGGGGGACAGTAGGGGAACATTGTAGGGGTCCCAGTGGGACACTGTGGTGTCCCAGGGGGACACTGTGGGACACTGGGGGGGGTCCCAGGGGGACATTGTGGGGACACTATGGGTGTCCCAGTGGGATGCTGTGGGACAGTGGGGGGGGTCCCCGGGGGACACTGTGGGACACTGGGGGGGGGTCCCTGGGGGGCATTGAGGGGACATTGTAGGGGTCCCAGTGGGATACTGTGGGACCACTGTGGGTGTCCCAGGGGACACTGGGGGGTCCCCGGGGGACACTGTGGGACACTGAGGGGGTCCCTGTGGGACATTCCGTTCCCGCGCTATCTCGCTCGTCCGCCAGGGGGCGCCACATGCCCAGCGAGGCCCCGCCCCATGACGTCACTCTGCGCCCCGCCCCTTGCCCGCGGTGCACTCTGGGCTCGCAGAGATGGCGGCGCTCAGCGCGGGCCGGGCGGCGGCGGCGGTGAGCGGGGGACGGGACACGGGCGCTGAGGGGACAGCGGGCTCAGCCGCGGGGACTGAGGGCACGGAACGAGCGGGGACATCGCTCTGGGGGCGGGACAGCGGGGTATGGGGGTGCCGGGCAGGGTCAGGAGGGTCAAACGGGTCTGACCTCTTCGTTCTCTGGACTAGGAGGGGTCACTGAGGGCTGGAGTGGTCCGTGAGGGGTCAGTGAGGGGTGGGAAGATCAGACGGGTCTGGGGGGGTCCGTGAGGGGTCAGTGAGGGGTGGGGGGTCCGTGAGGGGTCTGAGGGGGGTCAGGGAGGGTTGGGGGGGGGTCTGAGGGGTCACTGAGGGCTGGGAGGGTCCGTGAGGGGTCAGTGAGGGCTGGGGGCGGTCAGTGGGGACTTGAGGGGGACAGTGGGGGCCGGGCAGGGTCAGTGAGGGGTCGGACGGGTCTGAGTGGTTCAAATGGGTCTGGGGGGGGTCCGTGAGGGGACAGTGAGGGGTCAGATGTGTCCGGGAGGGTCAGTCTGGGTGGTTCAGACGGGTCTGGGGGTTCAGATGGGTCTGGGGGGTCAGTGTGGGGCAGAGTGTGAGGTGAGGGTTGGGGGGCTTCACTTTGGGGGTGGGGGGAGTTTCATGCTGGGTTGTGGGGGTGTCATTTTGGGGGTGACATTTTTGGCTTGGGGAGGATTTTGGGGATGGGGGGCACCCCCTGATGGGGCTCTCTGACCTGTGGGGATTGGGGGTCCCCTCTCTGACCTGTGGGGATTGGGGGTCCCCTGTCTGACCTGTGTGGATTGGGGGTCCCCTGTCTGACCTGTGGGGATTGGGGATCCCCCTCTCTGACCTGTGGCACCCCCCAGGGGCTCCTGCGTGCCCAGAGCCTCGGGGCATGGCGGGCGCTGGGCACCTCGGCCACCCTCCTGCAGCAGGCACAGGCCAAGGTGAGCAGGGGATCTGGGGGCACAAAAGAGGCTCAGGGGGGAACCTCTGACCCCCCAAAACCCCCTGAGAGGATGGGGGAGGTTTGGGAAAAGGCCTCAGGGGAGGTTTGGGTGGGATATTGGCAATTGGGATATTCCTGGGGAGGGCAATGGGGTGTGACATCCCCTGGGGACATGGCCAGTGGTGGCCCTGGCGGTGCTGGGGGGGTCTCTGAGGTTTTTCCCAGCCAGAAAATTCCCAGATTCCGTGGGAATATGGCCGAGGGAAGGGCTCAGCGTGACCTTGAGGCGCTGCCCTTCCCTCAGCTCTGCCTCCTGGCATTTCACATTTGTGCTCTGGACATTTGATTCCAGCTTATTTAAAGCTCCCCAGTTGTGACTCTCAGCTTTCCTTCCCTCCCTCCCTCCTTCCTTCCCTGTTCCCAATGGGGTTTGGAGTTTCCCTGGCATTGCTGGCAGGGAATTCCCTGGGCTGGGATTGGGGGGTCCCACAGGGAATTCCAGGCTGGGGAAGGAAGGGAGGGGTGGGAGGGACATCCCAGAGAGATCAGGGAGGTTCTGGTGTGGTCTGGGCCATGAAAATGGGGCTTGGCAAAATTCCAGGTGGTCCTGAGGGCAGGGGATGGGTGAGGGGATTTAGGAACACAGGCTGTGCTGGGATATGGGGTGGGATATTGGGGAAATTCCTCCTGGAAGGAGAAGTGGGGAGTTCCCAACCTTGGAGAGATCTGGGTGGGATATTGGGGAAATTCCTCTTAAAATGGCTGTGCAAAATTCCAGGAGATCCTGAGGGCAGGGAGAAGGAGTGAAGGGATTTAGGAACACTGGAGTGTGCCTGGATATTGGGGAAATTCCTTCTGGAAAGAGAAATGGGAAGTCCTCATGCCTTGAGAGATCTGGGTGGGATATTGGGGAAATTCCTCCTGACGTGCCTGTCTAGAATTCCATGGGATCCTGAGGGCAGGGAGAGGGAATGAGGGGATTTAGGAGCACTGGGGTGTGCCTGGATATTGGGGAAATTCCTCCTGGAAGGAGAAGGGGAGAATCCCCATCCCTGGAAAGATTTTGGGGTGGGATATGGGGGAAATTCCCAAAATTCCAGGAGTTCCTGAGGGCAGGGATGAGGGGATTTAGGAGCACCACACTGTGTTGGGATATTGGGGAAATTCCTCCTGGGAAGAGAAGTGGGGAGTCCCCAACCTTGGAGAGATTTGGGTGGGATATTTGGGATATTCCTCCTAAAATGCCTGTCCAGAATTCCATGGGATCCTGAGGGCAGGGAGAAGGAATGAGGGGATTTAGGAACACCAGGCTGTGCTGGGAAATTGGGGAAAATTGGATATTGGGGAAATTCATCCTGGAAAGAGAAATGGGGAATCCTCATCCCTGGATTTGGGTGGGGTACAGAGGAAATTCCTGCTAAAAATGCCTGTCCAAAATTCCATGGGATTCTGAGGGCAGGGACCAGGAATGAAGGGATTTAGGAACACTGGGCCATGCCCGGATATTGGGGAAATTCGTCCTGAAAAGAGAAATGGGGAATCCTCATCCTTGGAGAGATTTGGGTGGATTATTAAGGAAATTCCTCCTAAAATGCCTGTCCAAAATTCCATGGGATCCTGAGGACAGGGAGAAGGAATTGGGGGATTTAGGAGCACCAGGCTGTGCTGGGAAATTGGGGAAAATTGGATATTGGGGAAATTCGTCCTGGGAAGAGAAATGGGGAGACCTCATCCCTTGAGAGATCTGGGTGGGATATTTGGGATATTTGGGATATTCCTCCTAAAATGGCTGTCCAGAATTCCATGGGATCCTGAGGGCAGGGATGGGTGAGGGGATTTAGGAGCCCAGGCTGTGCTGGCAGCTCTCAGCAATCCCTCCAGGTTATTGCTGGAAGTGCTGGGCAGGACAGGGTCCCTCCGTGGTGTCGGGTGTGCTCAGGGTGGTGTCACCCCTGCGATGACAGGGACAGGGACAGCTCCGTCCTGGGCTGGCTCTGGGCCCCTTGGGACAGGGACAGGGACAGGGACAGCTCCGTCCTGGGCTGGCTCTGGGCCCCTTGGGACAGGGACAGGGACAGGGACAGGGACAGCTCCGTCCTGGGCTGGCTTTGTGTCCCTCGGGACAGGGACAGGGACAGCTCCGTCCTGGGCTGGCTCTGGGCCCCTTGGGACAGGGACAGGGACAGGGACAGGGACAGCTCCGTCCTGGGCTGGCTCTGGGCCCCTCAGGAGAGGGACAGGGACAGGGACAGGGACAGGGACAGGGACAGGGACAGCTCCGTCCTGGGCTGGCTCTGGGCCCCTCGGGACAGGGACAGGGACAGGGACAGGGACAGGGACAGCTCCGTCCTGGGCTGGCTCTGGGCCCCTCAGGCTCCAGGGGCTGCAGCGTGTCCAGGATGGATTTGGGGAGGGGGCTCAGCCCGGAGAAAAGGGGGATCAGGGGGGACCCTGTGGCTCTGCCAGGAGGGGACAGCTGGGGACAGGGACAGGACAAAGGGACACGGCCCCAGGCTGGGCCAGCAGAGGTTTGGATGTCCCCAAGTGTCCCTTATGGGGACATTTTAGGGATTTTCCTCCTGTCCAGCCCTGCTCAGCTGTGGAGTCCCCATCCCTGCGGGGATTTCCCAACCCTGTGACACTTGGGGACAACGCTCAGTGGTGGCCTTGGCCCTGCAGGGCTTTCCCAACCCAGACATTCCATGTCCCCATGTCCCCATCGCTCCGTGTCCCCGTGGGTGTGACGTGGCTCAGATCTCTGGGGGTCACTTTGTCCCATTTTGGGGTGACCCTGCTGTCACCCCCCAGTCCCACAGGGCTTTGGGGTGACCCTGCTGTCACCCCCCAGTCCCACAGGGCTTCGGGGTGACCCCAGTGTGTCCCTGCAGTCCCACAGGGCCGAGGGGACATTCCAGGTGACAATGCTGCCGGGGGACGGCGTGGGCCCGGAGCTCATGCACGCTGTCAAGGAGGTCTTCAAGGTATGACATGGCCTGGGGACACGAGTGGCCCTGAGTGTCCCTGTGAGTTCCTCTGTGTCCCTGAGTGTCCCTGTGAGTTCCTTTATGTCCCTGAGTGTCCCTGAGTGTCCTTGAGTGTCCCTGTGTGTCCCTGAGTGTCCCTGAGTGTCCCTGTGAGTTCCTTTATGTCCCTGAGTGTCCCTGTGTGTCCCTGAGTGTCCCTGAGTGTCCCTGTATGTCCCTGAGTGTCCCTGTGTGTCCCTGAGTGTCCCTGAGTGTCCCTGTGTGTCCCTGAGTGTCCCTGTGAGTTCCTTTATGTCCCTGAGTGTCCTTGAGTGTCCCTGTGAGTTCCTCTGTGTCCCTGAGTGTCCCTGAGCAAGGCTGTGTGTCCCTAAGTGTGTCTAAATGTCCCTGTGTGTTCCTGCCTGTCCCTGAGTGTCCCTAAATGTCCCTGTGTGTCCCTAAGTGTGTCTAAATGTCCCTGAGTGTCCCTGAGTGTCCCTAAATGTCCCTGTGTGTCACTGAGTGTGTCTAAATGTCCCTGAGTGTCCCTAAATGTCCCTGTGTGTCACTGAGTGTGTCTAAATGTCCCTGAGTGTCCCTGAGTGTCCCTAAATGTCCCTGTGTGTCACTGAGTGTGTCTAAATGTCCCTGAGTGTCCCTAAATGTCCCTGTGTGTCACTGAGTGTGTCTAAATGTCCCTGAGGGTCCCTGAGTGCCCCTAAATGTCCCTGAGTGTCACTGAGTGTCTCTGTATGTCCCTGAGTGTCCCTAAGTGTGTCTAAATGTCCCTGAGTGTCCCCGAGTGTCCCTAAATGTCCCTGTGAGTTCCTCAGTGTCCCAGAGTGTCCCTCAATGTCCCTGAGTGTCCCTGCGTGTCCCTGAGTATCTCTGAGTGTTCCTAAATGTCCCTGCCTGTCCCTATGTGTCACTTAGTGTCCCTAAATGTCCCTGTGTGTTACTTAGTGTCCCTAAATGTCCCTGAGTGTCCCTAAATGTCCCTGTGTGTTCCTGCTTGTCCCTAAATGTCCCTGCCTGTCTCTGTGTGTCACTTAGTGTCCCTAAATGTCCCTGTGTGTCACTTAGTGTCCCTGAGCATCCCTGAATGTCCCTTTGTGTCCCTGTGTGTCCCTAAATGTCCCTTTGTGTCCCTGTGTGTCCCTGCATGTCCCTGAGTGTCCCTCCTTGTCCCTGTGTGTCCCTTAGTGTCCCTGCATGTCCCTGTGTGTCTCTGAGCATCCCTTAATGTCCCTGTGTGTCCCTAAATGTCCCTGCGTGTTCCTGAGTGTCCCTGCTTGTCCCTGTGTGTCACTTAGTGTCCCTGTGTCTCCCTGTGTGTCCCTAAATGTCCCTGCGTGTCCCTGTGTGTCTCTAAATGTCCCTGTGTGTTCCCGAGTGTCCCTGCTCATCCCTGCCTGTCTCTCTGTGTCACTTAGTGTCCCTAAATGTCCCTGTGTGTCCCTAAATGTCCCTGTGTGTTCCTGCTTGTCCCCGTGTCCCCCTGAGCATCCGTAAGTGTCCCTGATGTCCCTGCTTGTCCCTGCATGTCCCTGCGTGTCCCTAAATGTCCCTGTGCGTTCCCGAGTGTCCCTGCTCATCCCTGCCTGTCCCTGTGTGTCACTTAGTGTCCCTAGATGTCCTTGAGTGTCCCTGTATGTTCCTAAATGCCCCTGTGTATTCCTGCCTGTCCCTGTGTGTCACTTAGTGTCCCTAAATGTCCCTGCCTGTCCCTGTGTGTCCCTGAGCACCCCTGAGTGTCCCTGTGCATTCCTGCCCGTCTCTGAGTGTCCCTGAGTGTCCCTAAATGTCCCTGCCTGTCCCTGAATGTCCCTGCCTGTCCCTGAGTGTCCCTGCGTGTCCCACGGGCAGAGGGTGGGTCCCCATTCCTGCAGGGGTTTGGGACAATTGGATTTGGGATATTGGGGTGATTCCTCCTAACAATGGCTCTGCAAGGCAGTGGGGGAGTCCCTGTCCCTGGAGGGATTTACCAACCCTGTGCATGTGACACTTGGGGACATCCCAAGGGTGGCCTTGGCGGTGCTGGGGTCACCTCAGAGGGAAAGATCCCACAGTTCCATCAGTGCCACTGAGGTGACCCCTCCTGTCCCTGAGCCTGGGCCTGGCTGGCTCAGGGCTCCTGTGGTGTCCCCTGTGGTGTCCCCTGTGTGACCGTGGTGGCCCTGTCCCTGTCCCTGTCCCAGGCTGGCAATGTCCCCGTGATCTTTGACGAGCACCACCTGAGCGAGGTGCAGAACACGGCGTCCGAGGAGAAGCTGGACCGGGTGGTGGACTCCATGAAGGAGAGCAAGGTGGCCCTCATTGGTGAGCACCTGGGCAGTGTGGCCTTGTCCCTGTCCCTGTCACCCCTTGTCCCCTCAGGCTGGGCCAGGGGAGGGTTCTGTGGGATACTGGGACAATTCCCCCTGTCCTGACCCCGCTCCGTGTCCTGCAGGGAAGATCCACACACCCATGGAGTACAAGGGAGACCTGGCGTCCTATGACATGAGGCTCAGGTGGGGGAATTCATTAATTCAATCATTCATCCATCCATTCATTCATTCATTCATTCATTCATTCATTCATCATCAATGAGTTGTGGGGGAGAGGAAAAGGCTGAGGGATTCTGTGTGGGTTGGGAAAGAAAATTTCAGTGTGGGACCCTCAGGGGTCCTGCACAGGGGGGTGGCCCCAGTTGTGTCCCCTGGCACTTGGAGGGGACAGCCACTGGGAAAGAAACATTAATTAATGTTATTATTAATGTTATTATTAATTAATGAGTTATTGGGAGGCAAAACTCCTGAGGGAGCATCCCTGGCCAGGAGCTGTCCCTGCTCACCCTGGGGTCCTGCAGAGGGGGGACCCCAGGGACTTGGAGGGGACAGTCACTGTGGATAAAACATTATTGAATTGTTGTTAATGTTATTATTAATTAATGAGTTATTGGGAGGCATTATTGGTATTGTTAATGTCATTATTAATTAATGAGTTATTGGGAGGCAAAACTCTGTGGCCAAGAGCTGCCCCTGGTGACTCATCCTTTTTCCCTGGAAATTATGGAGGTGGTGAAGTGGCTTTCAGAATTTGTCACTGGGAAAACCCCATTAATTAATAATTAATGAGTTATTGGGAGGCAAAACTCCATAGCCTGGAGCTGTCCCTCTTAACTCATCCTTTTTCCCTGGAAATTTTGGAGATGCTGGATGGATCCCAGAACTCATCACTGGGAAAACTCCATTAATTAATAATTAATAATTAATAATTAATAATTAATAATTAATGAGTTATCAGGAGGCCAAACTCCTGTGGGGTGATCCCTGGCCGGGAGCTGTCCCTGCTCACCCTGGGGTCCTGCAGAGGGGGGGTGGCCCCGCTGTGTCCCCAGTGCCCAGAGGGGACACGGTGACCCCGGAGCAGCCCCGGTGACCCTGTCCCCGTGTCCCCGTGTCCCCGTGTGTGTCCCCAGGAGGAAGCTGGACCTGTTTGCCAACGTGGTGCACGTCAAGAGCCTCTCGGGCTACCAGACCCGGCACAACAACCTGGACCTGGTGATCATCCGGGAGCAGACCGAGGGCGAGTACAGCTCCCTGGAGCACGAGGTGGGACATGGGGACAGCCTGGGACAGCTGCAGTGGCACCTGCACAGGGGACAGCTCCAGGGGGGGTCAGAGTCCCCAAAGGGGCTCCAGGGGGGGGTCAGAGTCCCCAAAGGGCTCCAGGGGGGGGTCAGAGACCTAAAGGGACTCCAGGGGGGGTCAGAGTCCCCAAAGGGGCTCCAGGGGGTGCTCAGAGACCTGAAGGGGCTCCAGGAGAGCTGGAGAGGAAAGGGAAAAAATGGAAAAAGGAATGGTTGGGCTTTAGGGATAGGGATCAGGGATTATAAAACAGGGGACAAGGCCTGCAGGGACAGGAGCCAGGGAATGGCTCCCAGTGGGAAAGGGCAGATTGGGCTGGGATCTTGGCAAGGAATTCCTGGCTGGGCTGGAATTGCCAGATTTGCTGTGGCTGCCCCTGGATCCCTGGCAGTGCCCAAGGCCAGGTTGGATCCACCTGGGATGGTTGGAAGTGTCCTGCCCATGGATGGGGTGGGAATAGGATGGGATTTAAGGTGTTTTCCAACCCGAACCATTCCAGGATTCTGGAGCTCCTTTACTCTGGGAGAGCTGGGAATGTTCACCTGGAGAAGGGGAAAACTCCAGGGAATCCTCAGAGTCCCTGAAGGGGCTCCAGGAGAGCTGGAGAGGGACTGGGGACAAGGCCTGCAGGGACAGGAGCCAGGGAATGGCTCCCACTGGGAAAGGGGAGATTGGGCTGGGATCTTGGCAAGGAATTCCTGGCTGGGCTGGGATTCCCAGAGAATCCCAGGAATTCCCAATCCCTGGCAGTGCCCAGGCCAGGCTGGATGGATCTGGATGCCCCTGGGATGGTGGGAGGTGTCCCTGGGTGGGGTGGGATGAGCTCCAAGGTCTCTCCATGGTTCCCTGCTGAGCACACCCAGGTCCTGCCTGAATCTGGGAATATTTTGGGACAGGAACACCCCCAGCCAGGGAGCACTGGGGTGGCTGCATGGGGACAGTGCCTGGCAAAGGGACAGTGGCACATGGATTGTCCTGGGGGAACCCTGGCCAGGGTGGAGACACCAGCGGGAGGAGAACTGGGCAGAAAAGGGCAAATCTGGGCTGAGATTAGAACAAATTTATAATTAAAACAAAGTTATGATGAGAACAATTCAATAACTGAAACAATTCATAACTGAAGCAAATCTGGGCTGAGATTAGAACAAATTTATAATTAAAACAAAGTTATGATGAGAACAATTCAATAACTGAAACAATTCATAACTGAAGCAAATCTGGGCTGAGATTAGAACAAATTTATAATTAAAACAAAGTTATGATGAGAACAGTTCAATAACTGAAACAAAATGGTGATGATGAGAGTAATTCAATAATTGAAACAAAATTATGATGATTAGAAAAATTCAATAACTGAAACAAAATGGTGATGATGAGAATAATTTAATAATTGAAACAAAATTATGATGAGAACAATTCAATAACTGAAACAAAATGGTGATGATGAGAATAATTTAATAATTGAAACAAAATTATGATGATTAGAAAAATTCAGTAATTGAAACAAAATGGTGATGATGAGAGTAATTCAATAATTAAATCAGAGTGGTGATGATGATGAGAACAACTCAATAATTAAAACAAGATGATGATGATAATTCAATAATTGAAACAAAGTGGTGATGATTACAAAAATTTAATAATTGAAACAAAATTATGATAATGGTAAGAACAGTTAAATAATTGAAAAAAATTATGATGATGATAACAATTCAATAATTGAAACAAAAAGATGATGATGATGAGAACAATTCAATATTTGAAACAAAATGGTGATAATAAGAAACAGCGTAATTGGAATAAAACTTTAATGATAAGAAATATTTAATTGTAAAAATCCCGATGATAGGAATTAATAATAAATATAAATACGAGTAAGAATAATAGATATAACAATACATGTAACACATAAATGTGGTCAATAATAATTAATAATAATTATAATGGCAATAACAATAGTAATAATGAAAATTATGATAAGGAGAGGGAAGGGATGATTATTATTATTATTATTATTATTATTATTATTATTATTATTATTATTATTATTATTTTGATTATTGTTCTTATTATTGATAATTATGATAATTATAATTATGATAATGATAGGGAAGGGAATATAATTATTACTAATAATAACAATAATAATAGGAGAGGGAAGGTAATATAATAATAAATGATAAAATTAATAATAGAATTAAAACAATAAATTAATATAATAATAGTAATAATAGTAATATAATAATAATAATAATAATAATAATAATAATAATAATAATGAAGGTAAGAGAGGCCAGAGCAGGCTGGATGTGAGGGCCAGGCATGGTGACCGTGCCCAGGCAGGGTGGCCGTGCCCGGGCTGAGGTGGCCATGCCCAGGCTGGGTGGCCGTGCCCAGGCAGGGTGGCCGTGCCCAGGCTGGGTGGCCGTGCCCACCTGTGACACCCCCCGTGTCCCCAGAGTGCCAAGGGGGTGATCGAGTGCCTCAAGATCATCACCAGGGCCAAGTCCCAGCGCATCGCCAAGTTCGCCTTCGACTACGCCACCAAGAAGGGCCGGGCCAAGGTCACAGCTGTGCACAAGGCCAACATCATGTGAGTGCCACTGTCACCCCTGTCCCCTCAGCTGAGCGGTGTGACCGCTGTGTGACCGCTGTGTGACCTGCCAGCGCTCCAGGACACCTGGGAGGGACCTGCAGTGGCAGGAGAGGGGGAAGGGCTGCAAGGTGGAAATAAAAAAGATTGGGGTGGGGGCTTGGCAAGGAATTCCTGGCTGGGCTGGGATTCCCAGATTTGCTGTGGCTGCCCCTGGATCCTTGGCAGTGCCCAAGGCCAGGCTGGAGCAGCCTGGCATGGTGGAAAGTGTCAATAAACTTCAAGGTCCCTCTCCACCCAAACCATTCCAGGATTGTGGAGCCCCTCTGGTCTGGGAGAGCTGGGAATGTTCCCCTGGAGAAGGGAAAACTGCAGGGAATGCTCAGAGTCCCTGAGGGGCTCCAGGAGGACAAGGGATGCAGGGACAGGAGCCAGGGAATGGCTCCCAGTGGGAAAGGGCAGATTGGGCTGGGATCTTGGCAAGGAATTCCTGGCTGGGCTGGAATTCCCAGATTTGCTGTGGCTGCCCCTGGATCCCTGGCAGTGCCCAAGCCAGGCTGGATCCACCTGGGACAGTGGGAGGCGTCCCTGCCCATGGATGGGATGGGATTTAAGGTCTTTTCCAATCCAAACCATTCCAGGATTCTGGAGCTCTTTTGTTCTGGGAGAGCTGGGAATGTTCACCTGGAGAAGGGAAAATTCCAGGGAATCCTCAGAGTCCCTGCAGGGGCTCCAGGAGAGCTGGAGAGGGACTGGGGACAAGGCCTGCAGGGACAGGAGCCAGGGAATGGCTCCCACTGGGAAAGGGGAGATTGGGCTGGGATCTTGGCAAGGAATTGCTGGCTGTGCTGGAATTCCCAGATTTGCTGTGGCTGCCCCTGGATCCCTGGCAGTGCCCAAGGCCAGGCTGGACATTGGGGATTGGGGTGAGGGAGGTCAGGATTTCCCTGGGTTTGGGGATTTTCCCTCACTCTGCCCCCAGCCAGGAGTGAGCAGACACTGCCCTGCAGCTGCTGCTGATCAGATTTATTGATAAATCAGTGCCCAGATATTCCCAGGGCAGCATCTCCATAACAGCCCTGTCCCCAAGGATTGTGAGATCATTGCCTTGGGATCATTCCTGCAGAATCCCAAGCTCTGGAATCATTGATGGGAGCACCTGGACAGCTCCACCTGGGACAAATCCCCTTCCCATCAGGGAGAGGGGGCAAAGGCAGCATGAGGAGCCCCAAAGGGTGTCCCAGATCCCAATTCCAGCTGGATCCCTGCAGCCTTTGGGATTTCCCTGCCGTCCCCAACCCTTGCTGGTGTTCCCCGTGCAGGAAGCTGGGGGATGGGCTGTTCCTGCAGTGCTGTAAGGAGGTGGCCGAGCTGTACCCCAAGATCAAATTCGACACCATGATCATCGACAACTGCTGCATGCAGGTGAGCCACAGCCCTGAGTGTGTCCCCATCCCTTGTCCCTGTCCCTGCTCCCTTCCCAGCCCTCTCTGAGGAGCTGGAACCTCCAGGCCTGGGCACACCGAGCTCACCTGGCCCCAGAATTGTCCCCTGTGCCAGGCAGGAGCCCCCCAGCATTCCCAACATTCCCAGCTCTGTCTCACCTGGGCTCCGGGGCCATCCCAGTGCTGCTCCTGGGGGGAATTTGGAGGGTCTGGGGACCTGGGTTCTTGCAGCCTCACTGGGGCTGGGCGTGTTTCTATCCCTAAAAATTCCCCTTCAGTCCCTAAAAACTCCTCAATCCCCTCTCTGCTGCCCCAGGTTCCTGCAGCCTCACTGGGGCTGGGCTGTTCCTACCCCTAAAAATTCCCCTTTAAATCCCTAAAATCGCCCCTTTATATCCCTAAAAATTCCCCCTTTATGTCCCTAATAATTCCCCTTTATATCCCTAAAAATTCCCCTTCACATCCCTAAAAACTCCTCAATCCCCTCTCTGCTGCCCCAGGTTCTTGCAGCCTCACTAGGGCTGGGTGTGTTTCTATCCCTAAAAATTCCCCTTTATATCCCTAAAAATTCCCTTTTATATCCCTAACAATTCCCCTTTATATCCCTAGAAATTCCCCTTTATATCCCTAAAAATTCCCCTTTATATCCCTAATAATTCCCCTTTAAATCCCTAACAATTCCCCTTTATATCCCTAATAATTCCCCTTTAAATCCCTAAAAATTCCCCTTTAAATCCCTAATAATTCCCCTTTATATCCCTAACAATTCCCCTTTATATACCTAATAATTCCCCTTTAAATCCCTAAAAATTCCCCTTCAGTCCCTAAAAACTCCTCAATCCCCTCTCTGCTGCCCCAGGTTCCTGCAGCCTCACTGGGGCTGGGTGTGTTTCTATCCCTAAAAATTCCCCTTTATATCCCTAAAATCTTCCCTTTATAGCCCTAATAATTCCCCTTTAAATCCCTAATAATTCCTCTTTAAATCCCTAAATTCTCCCCTTTATATCCCTAATAATTCCCTTTTAAATCCCTAATAATTCCCCTTTAAATCCCTAAAAATTCCCCTTTATATCCCTAAAAATTCCCCTTTAAATCCCCAATAATTCCCCTTTAAATCCCCAATAATTCCCCTTCAGTCCCTAAAACCTCCCCAGTCCCTCTCTGCTGCCCCAGGCAGTGCCAAGCATGGAATGCTCAGGGTTGGGGACACCTCGGATCTCACCCAGCCCCAGCACACCTGGGCTCTGCCCCCTGTGCCAGGGTGGGGCTGAGCCTCCCCCCAGCTGTTCCACTGCCCCATGCCCATTCCCGTGCCATTCCCGTGCCAGCTGGTGCAGAACCCGTACCAGTTTGACGTCCTGGTGATGCCCAACCTGTACGGGAACATCGTGGACAACCTGGCGGCGGGGCTGGTGGGCGGCGCGGGCGTCGTGCCCGGCGAGAGCTACAGCGCCGAGTACGCCGTCTTCGAGATGGTGAGCAGGGATGGGCACCCCCGGGCCGCCCCAGCGCGGCATCCCCGAGGCTGGCAGGGTGGCACGGCCCCGTCACCGTGCCCTGTGTCCCGCAGGGAGCCCGGCACCCCTTCGCCCAGGCCGTGGGCAGGAACATCGCCAACCCCACGGCCATGCTGCTCTCGGCCTCCAACATGCTGCGGCACCTCAAGTACGTGCTGGGCTCCCAAGGGGGGTTTGGGGGGCTCTGGGGGGGCTCCTGAGGGGCTGACCCCCTGCTTGCCCCCCTTTTCCAGCCTGGAATACCACTCCAACATGATCTCGGACGCGGTGAAGAAGGTGATCAAAGGTGGAAAAGTGAGTGCGGGGCAGTGGGTAGGGCTGGTGGTGCCTGGGTCACCTTCTCTGGCTGCTGTCCTCTTCCCAGCTGCAATTTGGGTTTTTTTCCTCTCTCCAGCTGCAATTCTGGTTCCTCTCCTCTTCCCAGCTGCAATTCTTGGTTCCTCTCCTCTTCCCAGCTGCAATTCTTGGTTCCTCTCCTCTTCCCAGCTGCAATTTGGGTTCTTTTCCTCTTCCCAGCTGCAATTCTGGTTCCTCTCCTCTTCCCAGCTGCAATTCTGGTTCCTCTCCTCTCTCCAGCTACAACGCCAGGCCCACAGCTGTGTCCAGCCCCTGTGGTCATGTCCTGGCCCAGGAGGGATTTCTGGCAGGGCTGGGGGATCCTCCATGGCCTCGTCCCCGTTTGGGTTCTTGGCAGGGACCTTCCACAGCCCCATTCCCACGCCAGGTCCTGGCAGGGCTCTCAGGGACCTCTCCATGTCCCCATGTCCACCCCAGGTCCTGGTATGGTTCACAAGGGATGTTCCACAGCCCCATTCCCACACCAGAGCTCTCGGGGATCTGTCCATGTCCCTGTTCCCACCACAGGTCCTGGCAGGGCTCTCAAGAGATGTTCCACAGCCCCATTGCCACCCTAGGTCCTGGCAGGGGCCTGTCCATGTCCCCATTCCCACTGCAGGTCCTGGCAGGACTCTCAAGGGACATTCCACAGCCCCATTCCCACTCCAGGGCTCTGAGGGACCTGTCCATGTTCCCATCCCCATCCCAGGTCCTGGAAGGACTCTCAGGATGTTCCACAGCCCCATCTCCACCCTAAACCCTAACAGGGCTCTCAGGAACCTCTCCATGTTGCCATTCCCCCCGCAGGTCCTGGCAGGGCTCTCAAGGTACATTCCACAGCCCCACTGCCACCCCAGGGCTCTGAGGGACCTGTCCATGTTCCCATCCCCACCCCAGGTCCTGGCAGGGCTCTCAGGGACATTTCCCAGCCCCATTCCCCCCTGCAGGTCCTGGCAGGGCTGTGGAGGGTCCCTGCTGCCTCTCTCAGCTCTCCTGTCCCTGTCCCAGCCGTTCCCCGTTGTTCACCGGAGCCTTTCCCCGTTTCTCCCCTCCCTGTGTTGGATTTGCAGGTCCGGACCCGGGACCTGGGCGGTTACTCCACCACCTCCGACTTCGTCAAGTCCGTCACTGACAACCTGCACCCCAACTATGGGGCCTAGGCCCCCCTGCACCCCAACTATGGGGCCTAGGCCCCCCAGCACCCCAACTATGGGGCTTAGGCCCCCCCAGCAGCTCCCCCAGCGCCTCGGCCCCCTCCCCAAACCCCTCCCAGCCCCACAGCAGGAACCCCAGGAATCTTCACCCTTCCCCATCCCCACAGGAGGCGACCAATGTGGAGTTTGGGGTGTTCTGGGTGGTTCTGGGCGGATGTGGCAGCGCCCCGAAATCATTGGCAGCTCCTAGGGACATTGGGACCCCCCACTACGGCTCTGGGACCCCCATTCCCATGGGATCCCCATTACTGGATTATCATTGCTGTGGGACCAGTGGGATTCCCAGATCCCTGTGAGACCAGGACCGTGGATTGGGGGACCCCATTCCCATGGGATCCCTGACTGTGGGACCCCCATTTCCATGGAATGCCTGACTATGGGACCCTCTCTTTTCTATGGGGTCATTTTGACTGTTGGACCAGTGGGATCCCTGTGAGAATGGGACCTTGGACTGTGGGACCCCATTCCCATGGGATCCCTGTGACTGTGGGACCCCCCCCCCCCCCCCCAATTCCTGTGGGATCATTCTGACTCTTGGACCAGTGGGAACTGTGGGATCCCTGTGAGAACAGGACTGTGGGAACCCCATCCCCACGGGACTCTTGTAACTGTTGGACCAGTGTGGGATTTTTGTGGGACCTCCATTCCCACGGGACCCTCATGAATGTGGGACCATTGTGACTGTGGGACCCCAGCGCCCCCATTCCCATGGGGCCCATCCCCTGCAGCTCTCAGCAATAACCGGGGTGACATCCCCCACCCTGCACCCCCTTGGCAGCTGCTGGCACAGGGTGCCCACGGCGTGGGGTGACCCTGGAACACTCCAGACCTGGCACAGGGTGGGGGGGTGACCCTGTGCCCCCCAGTCCGTGGGAATTGGGGAGCTGGGAGCCGATCCCGTAACGCTGTGCCCGTGGGGCCAGGCCTGGTGCCACCCCGGGCCGTGCCATCGTGTCGTGCTCTGTACTCTGCTTTGCTAATAAAGGGTCCAACGCTTCCCTGCAGCCCTGCCCTGCCCTGGGGGGGCTGGGGCAGTTTTTGGGGCGCAGGGGGTGCTGAGCTGGGGGGGCAATGCAGCCCTGCCCTGCCCTGGGGACACCTGGGGCTGCTGGGCTGGGGGGCAATGCTGGGACCAGAGCCCACACCGGACTTTGGGGCAGGGGGGTCAGCAGCCCCTCCACGTGTCCCCAAGGCACGGGGACAGTTTTGGGGGTGCAGAGGGCTCCAGGGAGCCCAAGGCCCAGTGCCACAGCCCAGCCTGGGGCCGGGGGGACCCCGACGTTGCAGGTCCCCCGTTGGTGCCCCCCTAACCTCCGGTCTCCTTGCAGGTGCGCACGGCGGACATGGGGGGCTACTCCACCTCCATGGATTTCACCCAGGCCGTGATAGATGCCCTGGAGGTGCAGTGACCTCAGCCCCGCCCCTGGCGACTCCAATAAAGTGGCCTCAGGTGTGACCGTGCTGCTGTCAGTGTCCCGCGGGCCGGGCAGGCTGCTGGTGACAGGGTGACCCCCGTGGGGACAGCCTGGGCACGCCCTGCCAGCCACGGAGCACGACAGGAGGGATCAGCAACAACCTCAGCCCTTTATTGGGGTTTGGGCAGCCCTGCACTGCACAGGCAGGGGGGACACGGCCTGGGGACAGCCCCACACGGCCCGAGGTCCCCAAGGAGGGGACACAGACACAGCCTGGGGACAGCCCCACACAGCCCAGGCCCCAGGGAAGGGGACAGGGGATGAAGTTCCACTCTGTAAGGCACAGTCCAGGGGCTGCTGCTGGCCCCAGGGACTCACCCAGGCCACCAGGGGCTGTGACACGTTCCAGGTGGCCACGGTGGCACAGGACACAGCTGGGGCCACCACGGGAGCAGGGGAGTGGCCACTCCTGGCTCCTGCCTGTCCGTCAGTCTGTCAGTCCGTGTGCTGACTGATCTCTGCTCACTAATCCTCCTCTGAGTCCTGAGCCACTGCCTTCTTCTTCTTCTTCTTTTTCTTCTTCTTTTCCTCCTCCTCCTCCTCAGGCTCTACCAGGACTTTCCTTTTCTTCTTGGGCAATGGCTCCTCCTCTTCCTCCTCCTCCACCCCGTTCTCCTCGGGCTCTGCCTCTGCTTGCAACTCCTCTGGCTGCTGCTGCTTCTTCTTTTTCTTCTTCTTCTTGGCCCCCACGTCGTTCTCCTGCGGGGAGGGGAGCCCCACATCAGCTCTGACCCCATCCTCCCCTCCTGGGGCACAGAGACCCCTCCAGGACCCCCAAAAGGGTCTCACCCCCTTCCCTCACCTCTGTCTCCATCACCGAGTTCTCTGCCGCCTCCTCAGCAGCTGCTGCCAGCGCCTCCAGCCGCCGCTTCTCCCTCTTCTTCCTCTTCTTCTCTTTCTTCTCCTGCCTCCTCTTCACCTCAGCCACCACCTCGCTGGCCTGGGGACACGCAGGGGACGTGAGCCAGGGCAGGGTCCCGGGGTTTGTCCCCACACCCGGCCCTGGTCGGATCAGACTCATTAAATCAGTCTTTGGCCTCCACAGTGGGTCAGGATGGCACAGTGACATCACCTCCGACAGGGCCCTCACCTTCATCTTCATCTCCCCAGCATCACCTTCATCACCAAAGCATCTCACCTTCACCCCCCAGCACCTCACCATCATCTTCATCACCACGGGATCTCTGCTTCACCCCCCAGCACCTCAGCAACACCCTTATCACCAGAGCATCTCACCTTCACTTCATCCCTCCAGCCTCCCAGCATTACCTTCATCACCACAGGATCTCACCATTATCACCCCAGCATCTCACCATCATCTTCATCACCTCCACCACCACTCTCCATCATCCCAGCAGCACCACCACCACCAGTATCCCACATTCACAATCTCCATCCTCTGGTACCTCACTACTGCCATCTTCATCTCCCCCAGGAACTCATCTCCATCATCTTCATCACCCCAGCACCTTTAGACCTCAGCACCTCACCTCCATCACCTCCTGCACCTTTCCTGCACCTCACCTCCATCTTCATTCCCCTGGCACCTCACCTCCATCTTCATCTCCCTCAAAACCTCACCTCCTCCATCTCTCCCACAGCCTCCATTTGTCACCCTCACCCCTCTTCTCCATCCCTCACCATCCCCACCTCCTCCTCCTCACCTCCACCACGGCCTCCTTCATCACCTCCAGGTTCTTGCGGGGCGGCTCCCCGGTCTCGTAGAAGGCCAGGCGCTCCTCCACCTGCTCCCTCAGCTTGTCCCCAAAGACACTGGTAGGGACCTCTGTGGGGAGGGGACGGGGGGGCTCAGCACTGACCCTGCACCCCCCAACCCCCCTGAGAGCCCCCCGTGCTCTGCTCAGCCCACAGGAGTCACCATTCACCGGGGTGAGATGCTGTTGACGAAAAATGATCCCATCACGGCAGAGCGGCCCTGAGCGCCCTCCCGTGCCCACCTGGCACCGAGTGACAGTGCCTACCATGACAGTGCCCACCACGACAGTGCCCCCCAAGCCCCCAGCCCACCTGAGAAGCAGTCGATGCGCGAGGCGATGGTGCACTTGTTGGCCAGGTAGCGCGAGATCCGCCCCTTGTTCTTGGCGGCGGCGCGCCCGATGAAGGTGGAGTGGAAGATGAGGCCGTACTTGGGGGTGTTCCCCCGCGTCTTCAGCGCCCTGCGAGTGCCCAGGGAGGGGTCAGGACCCCCGAGTGCCACCCCCACCCCGGAGAGCCCCTCCCCAGCCCGCTGTGCTCCGGGGGTCGCTCAGACTGGGGCTGGCTGCTCACCCCGGCGAGTCACAGCCGCCGCCCCACGGCCGCCATCACCGCGACCGCCCCGGGTACCTGAACAGGGCCTTCTCCGCCCCCAGGATCTGCACCGTCGACGCCGGGTACTTGGCCAGGTTGGTGAGGCTGCCAGCGTGCGAGATGAGGCGGGCACCCACCTGGGGACAGCACAGGGGGGGTTACAGGGGGCTCTGAACCCCCCGAGGGCACAGAGAGTCCCCCCAGGCCGGGATCAGCAGTGGAAGTGTCAGCAGCACAACTCAGTGGATTGACAGATTCACTCTGACATCATCTCCAGGCCGGGGAGGTGACAGGGGGGGCACTCTGGGGACACTCACCACCTCCCCGATGAGGGCGGACAGGCTGGGCGCCACCTGGCTCATCTTGGAGCGCAGGTACTCCTGCAGCCCCTTGCGGTAGTCGGACAGCGAGATGACGCGGCGCGAGAAGCTCTCGATGTTGATGAGGTCCAGGGGGGAGATGTCCATGCCTGGGGGGTGGCACGGGGTCAGCGGCAGCGCCGGGCACCTGGCCATGCCCCCCCGGAGCCCCTGAGAGCCCCCCTCACCCATGGAGGAGCGGGAGGCCTCCAGGATGGCCTGGGCCTTGGCGCTGTCCATGACGATCTCCTCCAGCCCCTCGAGGCTCTCCTCGCTCAGCTCGCGCCGGTTCCCGATGAATTTGGCCACCCGGCAGTACATGGAGTTCTCGGGGACGATCTTGATCAGCTCGGGGAAGTGATACCCGTACCACTCCCTGCGGGGACAGCACACTGTCACTGCTGCCACCCAGGCCCACCCAGCTCTGCGTGTCCCCACCACGTCCCCAATGTCCCCCCTGGTCCATGCCTTGGCCCTGAGGCCCGGCCAGTGTCCCCTGGGGAGCTGCTGTCCCTCCCCGGTCTGTACAGGCGGCCGGAGCAGCAGCAGCTGCCTGTGGTAAGCATGGGGAGGGGAAAGGGGACCCCCAAACCCCCCAAACCCGTCCCCACCGACCGGACACGCATGGAGAAGGTGTTGATGTCCTTGTCCAGCTGGTCCAGCAGGCTGATGGACTGGATGATCATGTTGTCCACCCGGTGCACGTTGAACTTCACCTTAGCCCGGGAGTAGCTGTGGCCAAGCCCCAGCTGGGCCTTGGCCGCTGACTGCGCCGTGAGGCCCCGGACCAGCGCCGGGAAGTGCAGCCGGATCCCTGCGGGGACACGGGGGAGACAGTGCAGTCACTATG